CGCTCTGGGCCTTCCTCGGGGCCGCCGTCGGGCTCGGGGCCGCGGGCCGCCTTCTTCACCTCCACGAAGGCGCTGCGCTTGGCCTCCCCTGTCTCCGGGCTGGGCGGCGCGAAGAGGCGGCCGCCCTCCTCCAGCCCGCAGTAGGAGCCGGCGGCGCGGTACTGCTGCTGCGGGGCGCAGCCCGGCTCCTCCTTGGGCGCCGCCGGCAGCCCCGGCCGCTCCGCCGGGAAGCGGCCCCGCGCCGCGCCGGGCCCGCGATCCTCCTCATCGGGGAACCGCCTCTTCGCCTTCCCGGCCGCCGCCTCGGGGCCGCCCTCGCCAGGCGTCGGCCGCCCCGGGGACCCGCCGCGCCCGCCGCGGGAATTCTCCAGCTCCCGCGCCAGGTTGTGGAAGTCCGTGGAGGGCTTGGTGCTGGCGGTGGGGCCACCGTCGGGACCGGGAAAGGGGTGGTGCGGCGGCCCGCCGGGCTTCCCGAACTTGCCGGGCTCCTGCTCCTTGCCGGCGACGTCCTTGCCGCCGGCAGCCTCGGCGGCGGGGCCGGTGTCGGGGCCGTGCAGCCTCTTGGGGCAGCGGAACCGGAGGTGTGCGGCGAAGGGCAGCTCGAACTGGAAGCGCTGGCTGCACTCGGGGCAGGCGAAGGGCGGCGAGCCTGCGGCAGGAGGGAGCACCGTCAGCCGGGGCCGCTGACGTGGTATCCCCGGAGAGTTCGGGGAACAGGGGCGCGGGGTCCCCAAAGCCGACAACCGACCCCGAACCCCCCGGCGGCCGCGCGGGGCACTCACCGTTAGTGCGGGCAGGGGCCCGGGCCGGTCCGAGCAGCAGCAGCTCGGTGAGCTCCTTCCCGTACCACACCAGCAGCTCCTCGTCCTTAGCGATGCGGCGCAGAGAGCGGTAGAAGAGCTGCCCGCTCTTGATGTAGGCCTCCAGGTTCTGCTCCTCCCGTTCCCGGGCCGACTGCACCAGCCGCAGCCACATCAGCCCCTCGGACGAGCCGTTCGCCGCCGACGTGTCCACCTGAAACCCCACGTTAATCCACCAGACCGACAGACCGACCGACCGACCGACGGGACGGGGACGGGCAGCAGCAGGAGGGGCGGTGGCGCGGCTCTGCCCTCGGGGACAGCCTCCCGGCGGCGGGGGGTCCCCCGGCCGAGCTGCGCTCCGCGGCGGGGACGCTCTCGGGCACCGGCCGACGTGGCGAGCGGCTGAGCCCGGAGACGAGCGGCTCTTACCCGGAATATGTAGGGGACGGTGCGCTTATCGGTGGACTTGAGGGCGATAAAGGCGATGCTGTCGTAGAGGGACGTGTGGCTCAGGACGCAGGGGCCGAAAATGGCATTTTCCGGGATGTCGCAGGTGGTGTAAACGCTGGTGAAAATGTCAGTCAAGCACTGCTGGACCGTCTTGGCGTCCCCGTCCCATATTCCCCGCTGGACGCCGGCGTCCTCCATCCCTGCGGACAGAGAGAGGGACAGAGCAGGGCCGTTACCGCAGCAGGTCCCGCTCAGCGGTGCACCGGGATGCGCCGGAAAACAAATTAAAATTAACTTGAATTGTTAAATAAAAAAATCAAGAAAAAATCCAAAAAAATTTAAAAAAAAAAAAAAGGTAGGCGAGCAGTTTCTCCGGGCTGAAATATAAAAAAAAAATAAAGCAGGCGAGGAGCTGCGAGCGGAGGCAAAGTGCAGGGACGCTGCCGCGATGATATACTGTTTCAGCGGTCGCGGCGGAGCCGGCTCCGGGCAGAGACCCGGGAGTCCCACCGGCCGGGTCCTGTCCCGAGCGGGCGCCGGGCACCGAGCGGCGGCGGATCTCCGGGAACCCCCGGAGCCGGGCCGGGCTGCGTGCTGCGCCGGGGGAGCGGGTGGGTTCCAGTGGCTTGTCATTGTCGCCGATTGCGTGTCAGCTCACCTCCCGCTCCGCGCGACAAGGGGAACGTATGGCTGCTCATTACCATAATCCAGCACTTTCCCTCCGAGACTTTAATTAAAAGCAGCAAGCAGAGGTAATTATTTTTACCTCGACACGCTTATTTATGGTGCAGGGAGAGCCCCGGCTGCCGTGCGGTACGGAGGGAGGGATCCGGGCGGCGGGCAGCTGGTGGGGCGCGGACAGCGGGCAGGGAGCGGGGCCGGGGAGGGAACATCGCGCCCGGCTGCGGTGCCCTCGCCCTTCCCGACCCGATTAGCGCACGGCTGCCTCTACCCGCCCCATCTGGCATCGAAATCCGTCATTTGGGGCTGGCTCGGGAAAAGACCGGTGCTCCTCCCGGTGCGCCTGCTGACGGCCGCCGCCGCTCGCGCCGGACACGGCCCCGCCGAGCCGCCGGTCCCTCGATTTCGGGGTAAAACCGGATCACCGCCACCCCGGGAACTTCGCCCCCTGGAGCGGCGGCGGGGGGGTCCCGGGCCCTCCCCGAGAACGAGGGCCGCGGACAGGGGGCTCTGGCCGCCTCCCCGCCGCCCTCCCCGTTCCGCCGCTGCCCGGCGCATCCCTTCCCCGAAGGGATGATTTCGCCAAACGAAACCACCGGCACCGAGCGGCCCCCGCCGAACTTTCCCCTCGGCGCCGGTGGGCCCCGTACGGATCCCCGCGGCGCCGCATCCCCCCGGTCGCCCGGACCGCCCCCGGCCCCGCGGCGCTGTCTCCCCTGGCCGCCCTTTGTCCGGGCCGGGCGGCGCCGGGGCCGCTCCCGGAGGCTCGGCCGCCGGGCTCCACAGCTCGGGCAGGGCCCCGCACCCCGGGCAGGGCCGCCGGCAGCACGGCCATCCCCGGCATTGTTCCCGCTCCGGGGCGGCGAGGCGCGGGGGACGGCGGGGCCCCTCCGCCGGTACTCACCAGGGACGGTGGGGATAATCCTCGCCCCGACAGTGGCACAAAGGCGGCTCCGGGCTGGCTGCCCCGGGCTCTCAGCGCCGCTCCATGCCGGGCCGGGCCGGGCGGGCGGCGGAGCGGGAGGCGCGCGGTGCAGACGGACCCGGTGCAGTGAGGGGCTGGCACGCAGACACACACTTTTTGTTTGCTGCACATAATCTGCCCAATGACGCGTGACAGCCCACGTCCCTCCCGTTAACCCCTTCGGGGCTGCCCGCTCGCCGCCCGCTCGCCCGCCCGCCCCTCACCTGGCCCCGCTTCCACCGGGCACCTGCGGCGAAGGGGATGGGGAACAGGGGCGCGCCCCCGCCAACGGCTCTCTCCCGGGGCAGCGGGCGGGTTTGGGGCCGCCCCTCCGCTCCGGCCCGGCGGGGGTGTGGGGCGGGGAACGGGGGGGCCCGACGGCCGCTCCGCCCGGCGCCGGGATCCCGGCGGCGCCCGCCCGCTTTGCCCCTGCACCTGCCTTATAGGAGCATCTCGGACACTCAGTAAAAGCCCTCCTCGGCAGGACGCAGGCGAGCGGGGATGCCCGTGCCATGCCCGCGCCCCGGCCCGCGGAGCGGCCCTCCCGCGCTGTCGGCGCCCGGCGGAGGCCCGGCGTGCGGGGAACCGGCAGCCCCGCGCTCCCCGCCGGAGCCCGGTCCCCACTGGAGCGGGGGACACCTGGCTGGAGCCCCCGCCCATTCCTCGCCTTTCCAGAGCGTGGGGCGCCCCCGGGCTCGCACCCCCGCACACGCGGGGCTTCCACGTTCACCGACACGCGCACAGATTCGGGGAGCAGAAGCATCCGCAGATGCTCTATGCCGAAATAAGAGGGTCACCGCACGGAAAAGTGTTTACCGGTCCCTCCCTTTTCGCCGTCATTTCAGGCACAAAACAGATTTAAAAAAATGGAATTTAAAGCCTTTCTTTAAACTAAACAAAAGGAGAGACAAAGCGTTTTCCAGGGCGAACGGAGCGAGGTTTGCAATCAGAGAGTGGGCTGATGTTTGGCTCTCAAATTCACTTATCCTCCCCGTAATTACGATTTTCCTTGCATTAGGATTAAAGGCTGCATATAATATGCTTTCAACATTAATCTTATTAATTCGACAAAACGCAGCGTCTCCTAAAACGGAGATTGTCATAACATTAAAAATATGGGAGTCTAAAAATTTGAATCTCAATTCCTGCTTCAAATGTGGGGATTTTTTTTCCTATTCATCTTTCTTTTTTTTTTGTTTGTTTGTCCTTTTTTTTTTTTTTTTTTTTTTTGAGGCTGCAGCTCTCGCTGTGAGATATAAATTGTCCGAATGACTGTCGTTAGTAGGGGGAAAGAAAACCAACGCGTTATTTTTATTCTCGAGAATTTTAAGAGACACCACGGCACATAAACGATCTCGAAATCGCTTCGGCATGATCTCGGCTACCGAAATTCCCCGTGACTGGAAAGGACCGCGTCGGCATTTCTGAGCATTTATCCAGCCTCGGATGCCACCCTAAAAGTGGATCCCAGGGAACGGCGTCCCTCGCCCTGCAGAACAGCACTGGGATGGACGCGAGCTCTTTCCTTTGGAGTTTCTGCTGCGAGGTGCTCCGGCCGGGAGCGCCCACCGCAAATCCGCAAAGCCCGGCGCCCCGCAGAGTCCGGTGCCGGCGGCGCTCCCCCGGCCTCACTAAAAAGCCGCACCGGGATTTTTGGGGGACACGGCCCAGGTGCGCCGGGCCCGATCCAGCCCCAGCCGCGCTGCCAGCGGGTGCGGTGTCACCCTGTGGGGCCGTGTGATTACTGCCCGCCGCCTCCCGGCTGCCACACGCTCCTATCTCGGTACATCCATGCATTTTCTATCTGCTTCTTCTTCCAGAAAATCTCCCGCGGAGAGCTAAGGGCGACCCGGGCTGAGGAGCTCCGGCCGCCTTCCCACAGACCCCGGCAGCCGGCAGCCCCTCGCTGCTCCCCGCTGCTCTCAGCCCCCCAAAAGCGCAGCTCCAGCCCCGACGAGCCCCTGGCAATGGCACCGGCACGGTACAACCGGCTCCCGGGCAAGGGGAGGCCCAGGGAGCAGCCGGGCAGGACGGAGACCTGGGCTCGGAAGGGGTCGGGCTGGCGAACCTGATTCCCACGGACACCCGGCATCCAGCCCCGGGGGGGCGGCCCAGGGTCCTCTGCTCCCCGGCTGGGGGGATGGCTGCAAGGGACAAGAGCACTTGCTCCTCAGCAGCGTCAGCCTTCTCTTTCCTCCCTGGGCTTCTCCCAGAAAGACGAAAGGGGCCAAGGAGGCTGCTCAGCCTGTGCTCAGAAACACTACTGCATCCCTTGGGAAATGCTTCCTGAGTTGTGACATGCATCAGGCCTACGGATGTGTGCTTACTCCTCTGAGGAGACACATACACAGCTGAGAGTCAGCTCCCAGGTGACTGATATAAAGTCACCTGTAAAATAAAATCACTGAGAGAATACACAAGTTCCCAGAAGTGCATGAGCCCAGCCACACTCGCTCCCACCATGCCAGGGGACCATGGGGAGGAGGCAGGAAGGGATGCCCAAAGTTGCCTTGCTGCCCTCTCTGCCCACTGCTACCAGAAAAAGGGCCAGCTGTGGTCCCAGGGGGAGCCACACCAGGTGGAATGGAAAAGCCACTCGAAAACAAATGCAGAGCCACAAGCTTTCCTAGTGCCTGGAGAAATGCAGACAGAACAGTTCCCTTCCCTGGAGATAGACAGGCCTCTGTAGTGGAAATAAATCGGAGGCCTCAGCTAAACCACAAACCATCCTTTCTGCATGCCACTAGGCTCACAAACGGTGCCTTTTCTGGGGAAGCCCTATGCCAGGGTGCCAGCGGTGTCACCACCATGCTGCAGACCAGCATACGGCGTACAGAGCATTGTGCTTCTCTCACCAGTAATCCTGCCAAGCAGCACATGGATCCCACCGGGAATCCTCAGCCCCACAACCAGATGGATATGTCCCTACCACCAGGCCCTCACCAGGGCTGAGGCGCATCAGCAATGTCCTGTCCTGTTTCCAGCTCAGCTCCCAAACACACCTATGGTCCCTGTCCCTTCCTATTCCCTTCGACCCTTCAGCTGCACCTCACTGATATGGTGCCTGGGACTCCCAGGTCAAGTCACTGCCACGCCACAAAACACAAATCCTTAAAAAGGGCCAGACATCAGCTTCACCTATGGCTCACCCCAAGCAGCAAGTGCTCCTGCTCCCCAGGAACCCCAGTGAGACCCCATATACCTTCCCCACCTGCTTTCTCGCGATTCAGACACCACGGGCACCTTGGCTGTTTCTTCAGCCCTGATGATGCTCAAACTTCCCCTGTACTTCCTTCCGAGCAAGCGCAGAGTCTAGTGAGAAATATTAATTTGTGTATTCACCAAAGGGTCACAGAAATTTTTTTATAGCTGACCAAAACCCAGACCATTGAATATACTACAGGTGGCTGGTTAAATGGCTCATACATAGCCCCATATCACTGCTGACTTTCTGTCCCAAAATGATTTTCTCAGCTTTCTGCTTCTCCTCCTTACTTGGCCTGACAGCAGCAGCACCAAGATTTAAAACCCGGAAAGCTTTCACCTAGCTTCACCTTCCTTCAAATGTTTAACAGCCTGATAGAGGACGTGATAGGCTACGAGGGACAAAAAAGGGAGAAATAAAAGGGGGGAACCCCTGCATGACTGAAATCTACTTCAGCCTCCTGTACACCCTCGGGCCTTCCTGTCCCCGTATGCCACCACTAGCATCCCACGCTGGGGCAGAGCCCACCCCACCACACGGCCCCTGGTCGTGCTTTGGCATGAGGCCAGGCAGAAGCCACAAGCTGATGGGGGACACACTGCAGTTGGGGGACGTGTCAGAGGGCTGTCCCTGGGGGGTCAGTCCCACAGCCCCCGGCCCAGCACTGCCCAGCATGGGGTGCAGTGGGGTCAGGCAGTGCTGGGCTCCCTTTCCTTCAGGAGCCCTGAGTTCGGCAAAGAGCTGTGGCCTGGATGTCTCTCTGGTGGCGTCACGGCCTCCGTGCTGTCGGGTCTATGAGGATGTCACTCACAACTCCCCACCAGACCCTGGGTGGCCGCTGTCCGAGTTACACATGGACAAGCCTTGGCAGGAGCTGGCTGCCCAAGCTGCTCTGACTGTCAGGTGGATGTTCCCCATCTGGGGATGGCGTTTTTCTGCGCTGCCTGGGGGCTGTAAAGGCCTCGGATGCTCCAGTGAGTGATAGTCCCTGAAGTTTGCAAAGGTTTGCTAAACCCTGGCGCAGAGGGGGTGGGGAGAGCTGTGAAAGGACAGACAGACGGGGCCAGGGGGAGGGAAAAAAGAAAGATGCTGAGGATTTCAGATCTGGCTCTGCAACAGCAACTTGACGTGGGGTGTGTGAAGGAGCCTGAAACTTAAAAAGATTTATTTTCTGTAGTCATAAATCTCATCCCGTTGTTCCTCTGACCAACCAAGCATGATAAAGTCCTTTTCCATAAAGTATTCAGTATTAAAGCCACAAAGCTCACCCAATCAGTAGCCATCTGCTTCTCCCATAACTGCTGCTCCAGAAGCAGGGAAAAGCAGCCAGAAGAGAAAGGGCACCACTGTTACGGCTCCAGGACAAATGAGGAGGCACTGAATAGCAGCCGAAACCTTTGGTTTGCCTTGTATATCTGTATCTATAGAGACAGAAGAAGAAAGGAAGCATTATATTGATACAACAATCGTAAAACAAAAAAAGGAAGAGGCATCTAAAGGGCAATACAGCGGGCATCAGAGGGCCCCGCGGGGAGGGATGCTCGCAGATTCGTACAGACATTTAATTGCTTTGCAATTGAAAGATAAAGAGGCCGAGGGAAAAAAACGGGGAGCACGGCAAAGCGACCTGCGTTACACGGTGCATCGGCGCCCGAGCTCACGCAGCCAGCGAGTCGGAGCGTTCCTTATCGGGGTACGATATCCCCGGGACCGACACCCCCGCGCTCCCCCCGGCCTCATCCCGGCCCGGCTACGCAACGCTTAACTTGTTTTCCAGCCGGCTGGGAGGGAGGGACCCCCCCAACGCTCTCTCGGAGCTCCCCATCATGAAGGACGCCTCCCGCAGCCTCCCTGGCCCCCAGGCTGCCCCCCCGGAGGGTGTTTGGCGGGACCCCTCCTCCAGCGCGGGGGACTCACCGCTCCCCCCGTCGGCGCCGCTCCGGGCTGTACAGAAAAAAAGCAGCAACGGTGTCACCCCAAAAGGGACGCGGGGAGGGGGCGGCGGGAGGGTGATGGACCGGGGGCTGCAAGAGCCCCGAGGGGGTTGCAGGAGCCCAGGGCCAGGAGCGCCCTGCGAAGGGCGGCCCCCGCCCCTCCCTGCGCTCCCGCCCGCCGGGCAATTAGCGGATTAATGACCGAGTTGGCTGGTCCTTTGAGAGACGGGTGTTCGATCGGGGCTCCCACCGCACGGCCTGGGGCGTGGACATCGCCCCCAGCCCGCGGGGACACTGACAGGGATCCACGGACACCGGGCGGGATTAGCGGCGGAGGGACGGGATTAGCGGCCGCCCGCGCTGCTGCCGCTCTCCGGGATTACGCCGGGATTAGGAGGCGGCCCCGTCCCCGCTCCCCCGCCGGGCAGGGTGGGAGGGGGAGCCCCGGGAGCTCAGTTCGGGGTGCCCGGGGGGGCCGTGTCCCCCTGTCCCCACGCTCTACTCGGCGCATGCTGCTTCCCTCCGATGGAGGGCAGGAGAGGAAAGACGAAGCCCGGGATGCTGCCGACGGCGAGTTGCAGGTGCCGGGCACCTGCCCGCAGCCATCCCGGCTCCCGGGAGGCGCTGAGCCCCCTGCTCGGCCCCCCATCCCCCGGCACGGCAGGAGCCTGGAGAGACCAGGAGGAGCCAGAGCTAGAAGCACAGGGGACAAAAGAAAAAGGGTGGTGGGTTTTTCATTTAAGAATCCCTGGCACGTGAGGGAGAACAACACAAATAAGATTGACGCACCGATAAAACCAGGGGTGAGGAGTGAGACACGGATGTGCTTCCCTCCCTCCCACAGGTTTGGTTTCTCTCGCAGAGCACGAGTGGGACCGAACACTGCGTTGTAGGCACAAGTCACTCTGTGGCTTTTCCCAAGCACCATCATGTCCAGCAGCCCTGTATTATGTCAAAAATCTGGCATGGCAGGCAGTGGCACATCTGTTAGGTGTGGATGACATTCATTAGCCAAGGTTCTCTGCTAAACGGCCTGCCAGAGCCTCAGCAGTGCTGCCCAATGCCAGTCACTCATCTGCTGCCAGCTCAAAGGCAATCCTGCTTCAGGAATGGCTTCTTTCCATGCTGGCAGGAGAAACAGAGGAAACAATGCATTCAGATGTTTGGGATGTGAGCGGGGTTGGACATGGGAGCGGCAAGCAGATGTAGCAGGAGAGGAGATGAAGTTGTGAAGTGTCATTTAATAATTGCAGCACATGGGAGATGTGCTGGTGAGCCGAGGTTTGGGAGGGGAAAGCAAGAACCCCTTTTCAAACCGCAGATCAGACAGTGGTGGATGCTTTTTGGAAAGGAAAGGTAATGAGGCTAATGCAGCAAATAACCTCGCTGTGCCCATGTGAAGGACACACACACCAGCCTGGGGACACTAATGCCAGGGCAGCCAGAAAAACCACCCAGGCCAGGGGAAGGAGGTGTGCTGATCTGCTTGATGGTCACCCTGGCTCAGGTGTCCTTCCCCTCTGGGGGTCTACCTGCTGCAGCCTGGACAGCTGCCCTGCTCGTGACGTAGTGGGCTCAGTGCTGGTCATGACAGCTTGGTTCACAGCCCAGAGGGGCAGCTGCAAACCTGGGGCAGGCAGGGCACTCACCACGCTCTTCTGAGAGTGCTGTGGTAGCCAGAGGTGGAGGGAAGGAACACCTGTTTGGCACTGCTACGAACATCAATCTCTGGGAAGAGAGGCTCTGTTTTCCTCTGCTCAGAGGCCCTGTGAAGGTCCTTGTTCCTACAAAGGAATTAAAACACCTTGAGATGAGATGGATGTAAAGATGTTAATCTTCCCCTCTTGTTACTTCAATTATTTTACAACCACCTAATGAGGTTTAAATTTGAGCCACTATTTGGTTTCCAGTGAACCTGTGAAGCAACCTCAAATAAGTGCTCAGTAAAAGCTCTCCTCAGCCCTGCCTTCCTTCAGCTTCCACTCCAACTTCTATTTCTGTTTACCTCCATTCACTTAAGTAGCGGTTCATAAAATGTGAGATGCTACCTACACATGCACGCAGTCTTTGCCTCTCAGATAATTCCTGTGACAGCCTCAGTATCTTAAATCTTCCACTACTTTTGCTCACGCTGTCAAAGACCACCAGCAGCTCACAGTGCTCTTCCTGCTTCTTTCAGCCAGGCAGGGAATTACAGGTTTTTCCCCCAGCACTGGTCTCTCTGCAATTACCTGTCCTGTTAAATCCCCACATACACCTTCCTGAAGCCCCTCAAGAGCCCTGCAGCTACTTGTCCCCCCCCGGCCAGCACACTGTTCCATGGTAGTGTCCATCTCCAACACCACATGTGCTCTGCCCAAGGCTGATGGGACACTCTTCCCACAGGCAGTGGCTCCCCCGACATCCCCTGCCCAGCCATCTGCGGCACAGCTCAGCTGTGAGCCCTTTCCTTCTGCTCCCACCTCCCCGGGAAGTCGTTCTGCTCCGGCTGCATTCCGGGCTGAGCCTTATCCACCTTCTGTTTCTGCACTGGGTTTGTCTCTGTTCTGATTAGTTGGTTGGCCTCAATCGAGTAATGTCTGCAAATTATATTTCCCCAATTTCCTACTTTACGTGGTTTGACACTTGCTGTACCACACACACCAACACACTCCTGGCAGGGACTCTGTGAATCTCACAACCTTCCATCCTCAGACACTGGAACTGGGTGGCTTTAAGAGCAGAAACCAAATCAAGAGGCAGAGATGTGATGCTTCTCCCCTCTCTCCAAACATTATACCTTCACTTAAATACACGAGTAATCCCATTGGATCTACTCTGGTGCTTAAAGTTAAGCCTATTAAGTGTTCACGGGGCAGTGGTCTGCACACAGAGGAGCCAGAAGAGAGGAGAAAGGGGAAAGCAGGGCGCTGCTCCGGCGGGGAGACATGGTGGTAGCAAACACCTCCCTACTCTCCTTCCCCTCAGGGCCACCTCCTCCTTCGGCTGCTCCTGACAGCCCCGGCAGCAGGCTCCCTTCAGGGTTTGGCACTGCCACTGACATCAGCGATGTGAGGGTAGTAATGGTAAGGGCTGGCAGAACAGAGGGGGAAAACGTGCTTTAAAAGCTCCTGTCAACACAAAAGCCTGAATTAATTTTCTAATTCTGGTGGTTACTGCGTTGGAAACTTTGTTTCATTCTGTTTTCAAGGTGTTTCTCACATGACTCATTGTATTCATTGTCACTATTTTCAGACAATGAAGCAGGAGAGAGCAGAGTTATCGCTGCTCCTATGAGGAGGGTTTTTGTAGGAAAGCACTCATGCACGTGTTTCCTTTGCTCTCCAAGGATTTCAAGCACGTACTTAAATTTAAGCCTAAGTGCTTTTTGGAACAGGGAGCATCTCTTAGAACGGGGACTTGATTCAAAACCTGCATGTCCACAGAGCTCTGGCTCTTGACTCTTTGCTTCAAGCACTGAAAAACCTCCTGCCTCGGCTGCACAAAGCCATGTCCCATCCTTTCATGCATTTCTTGGCACGTGCACATTCTAATTCCCAACACCACCCTTTCTTCCCCTTTTCTTAGCTGGCTTTTCTCTGGGCGCAATGCATTATGTTTTCCTCTATGTACTACTCCATACTGCTTGCACAATGTTTTGCATGATCTAATATTCTTTGTTCAAAACTGCAAAAAAATCTAAATAAAGACTATAGCGTGTCGCATCAGTATAGGCATCAGCTAACGTTTTCCACGGCATATGGTACTTCAGAAGCCATATGTACCACTGTTTAGTGATTCTGGCAAAGAGGCACAGAATAGTGAAATCCAACTGCCAGGATTTCTGAAAACAAATATGTAAATGCTCCAGTGCTTTTGTTATTCATAACATACCTCTAACACAGCACATACAATATGCTGTTCATTCTGTAACGAGTATACTACTAAACTATATTTGCTTCAGTTCTCATTTTAAAAGATTTTTTTTTTCTTCTGTATATGATTCTGCCATCCTCTCTATCAAAATCAATTTAAATTGCAATTTAGAAAAGGCATTTTGTCTATTTTCAAGGATACACTTTTGGGGTGACTGTGTACCTACAAAACAGTCTCACATCAGAACAAAGACAAACCTTATCTGAGCAGCCCGAGAGTGCCCATTCTAACTAGTGGAATGAAAGCAAGGAAGGGAAGTGCATTTAACCAGATCAGTTGTGCAGAGTGAAGCCTGTTTGGCCAGGAATAACCTCCGGGGGAACACGGGTGGGTTGGCCCCACTCACAGGCTGATGCAAATCAAGCAGGCTGACAAAGCTTTTGGGAACAGGTCCTAGGAAACAATAGTTGTGGAGGAAACAGATGATTTCAGACACGTGGTCCAAGGTGGACAGCAGCTGCCAAGCTCTGACCTGAGCTGGGATCAGTCCCAGTGAGCCAAGGCTCTGCCAGTGGCCAGGGACAACGGATTTGGTCCGTGGCTGGGGGCTTGTCCCCAGAGAGGCTGGCAGCACTGAGGCCAGAGTGTCAGGGCAGTGCACAGAGCTCACATGCAGCACTGTGCACCACTAAGGCTTCAGACCCCATTGGAGAAAGCAGGAGCCCTCCTTCCAGAGCCAGCACCGGCACGTAAACAGGAATCAACACTCAATCCCATTAACCATCTCTGGCAGCGCTACTCCGGGTGCTCCTCTCATCCGCAGAGAGCCTGTCATCTCCGCCTGGGATCTTGCTGTGATGAAGGATTTCAAAATGTTGCTGTTTAACATTCAGCCTTGCCATTCACAACAAACATTTTAACATTCCCTGTTGCCACCATTGCCTCTGTCTTTCGGTTTATCAGTGTACAAGGAGACTGAAATTCTGGGAGTGATCAAACATGTTCACGAGTTGCTCTGCAGCTCGCTCCCACCTTGGAAGTGGTACTGTTGTACATCACCAGGGCCAGCGCTCAGCATCCCATGGCTCTCAGTGACACCAAAAGACCAGGTAAACCTCAGGAGGAAAGGACAAATAGGAATGCCTCGGAGAAACATTTGCATTTTCAGTCTATTGCTTTTGTAATTGACACTGTTAAAACCAGCAAACCCGTGACTTCCTGAACACCTTCCCGGCAAAATCTCTACAAGGACCTGAAAAAATTCAGCCATGTCCAGATATGACAGCGTTATTCAAGACACACAGATGCCTTTTTCCCAAGAGATCAAGGACTGCTGCTCCTTTCTTTGCCAGTCTTACACTGCAGCATCCCATTTCAGCAAGCACAACCTCCCTCACGGGCATCTCGTTCCCAGCACAGCCTCTGCTTGACTCTCTACCTGTGCACATCAGACCTGCTCATTACTTCCTATCTCCTGCCAGCCCCCACTGCAAACCATTTGGGTGCTCAAGTACCTCCTTTTTGGTAGGTTTTTCCTTCTGCAACAGGAACCGGGATCCCACTTTGCTCCTCTGAAGCTACAGAAATACTCCGTTAAAAAGTTTAAGCCAGAGCTCTGCATGCAGCCAGGTCTTTCATCTAGAAACACTTGGGATTTTTCTATTCTATTTCAAAAAGAAAACCTTAAAATAAGCCTTTATGTTTTCCTACTTTCACAGGTCCTTCAGCCAGAGCAGTTTCTTCCTATTCTGTTCTAGCCAGCAGGTGATAAAGAGTTGCCATAAGAAATGTTGGCTTTGAGTCCAAGTGCCAGGATTAGAAAAAGAGACAATTAGAAAGTGAAAAGTGGCAAAAAGCTCCTAAGAAGCCAAAAATAAAAGAACAAACAAACATACAATCTGGCTATCAAAAAAAAGCCACATTTTTCCCTTACTGCAGTAAAAGTCAATGCTACAGCAATCACAGAGTATTTTGAAAGATAAGAAGTCATGGGGAGAGGGAAAACCAGCCCAACAGGGTCAAAAAGCTGGGGACAGCCCTGGGTTTTCCCACCTGATGGGGCTGACAAAGGAGGGGACAGGGAAAGCCAAATGCCTCTCACTGTGCTGACAGGACATTGCACTGATCCTGCAGCCACAGGCTAAGACAAACTACCCTGAGGGAAGGGAGCCAAAAGAAGAGCCCGTTGATTGAGCAGGTTCATGTGCACCAGCGTTTATGGCAGAGCAAAGGTCAGTCTTGTATTACCTCTTGTGAATCCCTCTTGAACGAGCAGGCTGGGGATTTAATGGGCTAAGGACCAAGATTTATCGACATACCAGGGATTGCTGGCCCTAACTTTTAACCTGCTGGTAGAGGTGGGGGGGGTTTCATTAAGTGGGGGCTATACATGGAGTAGTTGCTGGCTCAGGCCAAGAGTAAATGTGATCTCCTCTCACAGAACTTGCCACCGTGTTAGAGACACCAGACTATTTTCTCTCAGCACAAAAGTCAGCAGAAAGCCCTCACCTGGAACTGTTGGAGCAGCTGAGGGCACAGAGGGGATGGTGAGGGGAAATCTGGAAGGGGTACTGTTGTACTTCTGCACTGCTCATCACATCTGTGAGCTCTAGATTGGCAGAGAAAACCCAAACCCATGCTAATCAAGACAGCAGGTACTCCTCTCCAATGGCACCCCCTCTCTGGAGCCATGAACACCCACCGACCCTGACAGGACAGACCCCTCTCCAGGGCCATGCACAGCTCCCATCTGCAGTCTCCCCATCCCACCACAAAATCTGGCCTGTTTTAAGGGAGAGCAGTGCTCATGTGGGATATAACACCCTCAATAGGCTCATTCCTCTCCTAAACCCCACCCCTTTCTTGCACAGCAACCATGGCTTCAGGAGAGAGAACAACCTGAGCAGTTCTATATTTAGAATAACACATCCTTACACCTCTCCTGCTACCTATTTTCATTGAGGTCCACACCTCTGCACCCTGGTCCCTCCACCTGGAGCATCACCTCTGGCTGCCTGTACATGAGCTGCTGCATTATTTTCCCCCTGTTCTTCCTGGGGTGTTTCTATGAACCCTGCTGCATCCGTCACACTCTTATTTTACAAGATCCAGCTCCATTGTGAAAACCTCCTGAGCTTTCCCCAGACACTTAAAAAAAAAAAAAAGCCCAAAAACCATGGACTATTTTTACATCCTTTTTTTACACTTAGGGTTCTCATGCATTCCACACTGATTCCTACCTTTTTCTTTTCCTGTTTCAAACTGAATTCCTGGTGGTGCTAGATGGGGACACAGGGGCAGTAAATTCACTCTGTTCTCCTTGGGCAAAGCTCTCAGCTGCCCTCTGCTTCCCTCTTCTTTCTGCGGGGAGAGGCAAAGATTTCTCACCTGAGAGACACCATCCCCAGGAGCTTTTATCCCCCTTTGGGGCACTTACACACCTGAACCCCTTTCAGCACCTGGGCTGCAGCAAGAACAGCTGGGAGAAACAGGGAAGAACTGAGAGAGGGATTTCCAATATGTGCTCTTGTGGAAGGAGAGAATAATTGCTCTCCTGCAGCCTGTGCCAGCACTTGTTCTTTGCCAGTTGGCAGAGGGTACCACTTCCCTTTCTGAGGAACCCTTAACATCCACCTTTCCCCCCAGGAAGGGGACCATAGAGGCTGGGGTGAGTCCTTCCAGGCAGCCAGGCATCTGCAAGGAGCTGCAGGCTTGGGAAAGAAGGAAGAACCCAGCAGAAAGAAAAGGAAGAATCCAGCTTCTGCTTCACAAACTTCTTCTAGCTGAAGGGGAGCAGCAGCACGTATCTCCTTACCTGAGGGTTCCCATGGGAACACAGAAGGGCCCTGTAACAGCAAATTTTGGAACAGGCATGTCTGCGAACAACTTCTGATATAATATTTGAGTCCTCAGATGTTCAGCCATTTGCACATACTGCACGAGGGCCTGATTTGCATAGGATTTGTATTTGTTGCTATTCACATTCGTAGGGGAACGCATACATTAGATTAATGTCATCACAGTTTATGGAGATCATCTGTGCCACAGTACCAGCTCTGGGCTCTGGCTGCAGCCTGTGCCCTGTGGCACACAGCAACCCCTCCTGCCCTGCCAGGGCCACGAGAGCTGGCACCAGGCCTGGGCACAGCCACACTGGGCCCCAGGGTGGTCCTGCTGGGCTCTCCTCTGCAGGAGGCCCTGCTAGCTTTTCCTATCAGAGAAGTTGAAAGATCATCAGAAACAACTTATTTAGGAAATATTGCTTAGCCCTCGTTCCAAAGGTGAAATTAATCGAACTATTTGGAGTTATCCTCTTATATTTGCTCGTATGATCTTACATCACACTCTCTGCTCACATCTTCAGTCCCTACATAGGGACATTCAGCTGTCAAACAGTCCGACTAGGTGGTCCCTTCCCATCTTGCATGAGCATCCCTCATGCAAAATGGGGGATGGTTATTATTGGCAAAATTATTCCCTCTCTGGTTTTCCATGGCACCTGGGTGCTCTTGTCTGCTAGACAGCTGGAAGCTGTCACTAGAGATGCTGCTCTCACAGAAGCATTGCTGGGCTCAGTCAGTGTTTGTAAAGCAGATGGAACACCTCAGAAGAAGAGCACTGCAGAAACAAAAGCTCATTTTCTGCTAGAGAATTTCTACTATTGGGCAGTACTTCCATCAGGTGACTTCATACCCCAGCGAGCCCACATGCCAGCACAGTCTCATGGTGATTTTGTTAACCTGCTTCCACCACTGAGGCCCTGCAGGTCCACTTCCCAAGGCTGGCCACTGGGCCTTTTTCCATCTCTGCGCTCCCAAATCGGACGGCACAGAGAGTATTTGGGAGCAGCGGCGATGGGGGCTCACACCCCACACTCTGGCCCTGTCACCCAGGATCTCCTGGTGGACAGACCTCTGCTCCATCCTCAAGGAGCCACACACGCCTCTTATCCTGGCATTCACTTCTGAGTCCCTCCTTGTGTGCATGATCAGTTGGATTTCCTGCAAAATCTGTCTCAATCTTGATGATGCAACCAAGAGGAAGTGGGTAGCACAAAGGAAGGGCACACATCTCCAAGTCTGTGATGACCTCACACTTACCCTGGTAACAGGCCAAGTAACACCTTCTGGCAGCTGCTCAGAGCCCCGTTATCCAGGGCATGTGCTGCCAGCCCATGCTCCAGCTACATGTACAGTCCAGCTGCTCTAATGGCTCCCTACCCAGGCACAATTCTCCCACCTTGCAGCACAGGTGCCATCCCACTGCATCCCCTGAAGCTGTTGTGGCATGGATAGCTCACCTAAGAGAAAGGATGCACCATTCTAACACGGGTTAGTAGACGCCATTTCAATATATGGCTCTTAGAAGCAAAGTCTTGAAAAGTCCTTTAATTTTCGAGAGCTTTATTCTTATTTTCCAATGGATTTATGCACTAAGAAACCTAGATGGAAACCTCAAAGTGATAATCAAACCCCTTAGATATCTCAGAAAATGTCCCCAAATGATGTAACTAACACCCTTGTGACAAACAGCTCCCTATTTTTCTTTGTGATGGCTCCTACTTCCCACCAACATCTGTCACTGTGATTATGATCTCTAATGAGCTTCTAAATTATATTGCAGCATTTTGCCTTGATGAGCTACATTCAGTAACTTTCATTCTGCAAGACATGAAACACTTCCTACAAGATGCTGAATGAAAATTCCCTCAGCATAACAGCTGAGAAACTGGTTTGTTTTTTTTTTTTCTTTTGCCTGTTTTGTTTGGGTTTTGGGTTTGTTTTTTTTTTTCCCCGGTGTTCTGTTTGGTGTTTTTAGTTACACATCTTATTTGAGGAAGTCTAGGAACTTTACAAATAAGATACAGAGCTGTGAGCCCTTCTACCTTACACTCAAAAAATCTCCAGCCAGAGACGGGGACTGTCTCTCACCACACAGTAGCAGAGACATCAAATGTTTCTGTAAGGCAGAACCGGGGGAAAAACCCAAGCCAAGGTCCCAGAGAAACTTCCCATTATTTTTATGTTGTTTTTCAGTTACAGCTGAAGGACACTTTGGGTGATTTACCCAGACACTTGGGATGTTGTACAGACTCAGTTTCCCCATGCCACCAGGACACAGAATATGCCCCACACCTCCTCATACATATTTTTTTTCCCCTGATGTTCACACTTAGTGAAACTGGAAAAGTGACTATTAACCAGCAAGGTTTGTTGCCTTGGCTGTGGTCACACATCCTTGTTAACAGATGCCCACCCTGGCTGGCAATCTCTAGGTGACTTGGATCTCTCAGATCCACGTTCCTGTTTATTCCTGAGGCAACAGCAGCCCCGCTCAGCACTCTCACTGAAACATATTCCTGACATGCACATTCAGTGTCACACCGTGCAGTGATGTCACCTGCCCATCTGGAAAAGTGTTAGACTATACTTTCAGGGATCATTTCTGTGGTTCAAGACAAGGACAGAGCAGGTAGACGTTTGTGTGTGCAGCTTGCCCTGGGGCAGGCAGCAAGGGGCTGGCTCCCTGCTGGTGACTCATCCACGCCTTTCCCTGCCACTCATTCAGGGTTTGTGACATGGCTCATGAGAGCTGTGATCAGTACAGTTTGATTTATAGTACAGGATCTATGGGGGTTATTCCTTATTTTCTGCAGATAAGGACAGGCAGTGTTGATGAGCAGTTGCCACATTTCCAGCTCAGAGTAGCTGTGCAGGTGGGACAGCACAGGATTGGCAGGGAGCTGCTGAGGGGCTTGTGCACCATCACTTGTCTGTGCCACCAGGTGAGTTGCCCAAGTGAGCACACACTGACTCATAATCGTCTCCGACTCAGGAAATGAGTTTGTTTGGGACTTAAACCACATCTTATTCGCACATCATCAGCAGGGACTGAAGCCCCTCCCTGTCCTAAGTGCTTCACTACATACGTCTTGTGCTATGGTACCATGGTATCACAAGCTATTGTGCTTCTGCTTTAACTTTGCTGAACAAAACATTTCCTTTACAAAGCCTTTTTTACAGCCAAGAGACCACAAGAATTCAACATGAACACTAAAATACTGCCCCATGGGGATGACAGTTTAGAACCACAGCTCTTTTTCTGTGACTATTACTGTATGTCAGCTGTATATGTTGCCACAAAGCAAGGCCAAATATGCCACCTTCTACATGCATATAAGCTGATCCATGAAAACATGAAGCCCTTACCAAGCCGCTTCACCTGCTCATCCCTGGGTGAAGGGACGTGACCCTTCCTACCTTTATAGGCATTTGCTGCTCTGCCAACACCGCTGCTGGAAACAGAGCCTGCAATCCCGACAACACTGCTCCACCTCCAGCCACCCTACCCGCCCAGACAGAGGAAGAGAAAAGGATAATCTTTTGGATGACAGACAGTAAGACATGAGTACAGCTCACCATATAGTACAAGTTAAACTTCTTAAGTGTGGAGAAATTGAGGAAAAAGTAATTCAGAGTCATGCAGATGTAAACACCAGTCAGATAAGATACATCCCAGATACCTCACTCCCGTCTGAGGGCCAGCACAGTCACACTGATGTACAGAAGCATTTGTCATCCAGGCAGCTGGGGGAGCAGCTCACACGAACAGGGCAAGTGAGGCTGACGTACACAGAGTCACCGGCAGGGCTCAGCTGGTAAATAACCAGGCATGGCCCTGACTCAGCCAGCAAACACTCCCACACGCATCCTTCCTGCCCTGCAGTCTGACAAGGAGCAGAACCAGGAGCTGACTGCAATAAAATCCCAACCTACCTGCTAAATGTGGTGTTTCGCTGAGCACATCCTCTAGAAGGTCTGGCTGGAGTTTGCAGGTCTGTGTACAAGTCTTCAGTAACCTGATGTTAGACAAGGCAGCGGAACACAGAACTGCAGCCGAGTGCAAGATCTGCATGGAAGAAGGGAAATCCCCCAGTGAGGTTGGAAAGTACCTCTGATGGTCCTACCTCCTGCTCGAAGCATGATCAACACCAAGTCCAGGCCAAAGTTCAGGGCTCTTACTAGTCAGGCCTTAAAACCCCTTGTGGGAGCCAACTGCACCTCTCTGGGCTGTCCTGCCCGGTCCTCAGCTCTGGCTTTGTGGTAACGAAGTTCCCCTGCATTCTGCTGCTCCTCCTCCCAGCCTCAGGCACGCAGCCAGCCCATCACCTGTCCCTGAGGATCTCTGTACCTACAGAGGACAATCCGTCCCCCAGAGAGCCCATATCTGTCCCCTTCAGTGCCTGCATGGCATCCTGGACCAGCAGGGACACTCTGAGGCTCTGCTCCTATGCTGGCCATGCCACAAGAACCTCTGAGCTGTCTGAGCCCTTCCAAGGGCTCTCCTGCCCACATCACCCTGCCCTGCATGCCCAACACCTGGAGCCTCGCTCCACAGTGCTCCTTCCCTCACTTGCTATCAAAAAGCAGAGACAGAGCCCTTCCCCAACTTCCAGGTGCCACAAGCTGCCACCCAGCCCCACTCTGGAGCCTCCACCTCTTCTCATGGCAGCACCACCTCCAGCCAGCCCTCCTCTCCTGTGTCCTGGCTCTTACCTGCAGGCAGGTCATGATAGAAGCTCCAGCAAAGGTCTGACATCTCCTCATCTGCCCCTGCTGGTGCTACACAGTCCCAACCCCTCCTTCAGCTCTTTCCTCCACAGAGCTCCACCAGGCCAGACTCCAGTCCCATATCTTCCTCCTGACAGCACCTGCTTCCCCCAGGCATATGGAGAACCAGGTATCAACGAGCTACCAAGCTCCCATTGCACATCCCTGATGTCCTGGGAACAGTATTTCTATCTCTTGCTGCCCTGCAAACCTCCACACTCTGTGCTGAGCTCCCATGCACGACCCTCTCCCACCAGCAGCATGCTGCCCAGGCGATCCCCAGGAAAAAAGAGGGGAGCCTCCAGGTACAGCCCTTATAAACACAGACCTACATTTAGGGAACAACAAACAGCTGTTGGCAGCTGCAGGTGGGCCCAGAAGCAACTTAGAGCAGTGATCCCCACCTAAGGAAAGCAGAACCTGCAGGTTCCAACTAAAGTAAATGCTCAACCAGCAAACTCCAAAATTGGGAAACCCCTCAAATCATGGGTAGAGGAAAAAAAAAGAGGAAAAAAGGGGAAGAAAAATATAAATAAAGTGTCAAAAACCATGGAAAGGAATGGTGAAAAATTGCTGAAAGAAGCACCAGTAGTAATACCAGCAAAGAAATCTTCCTGGCAAAAGAACACGGAGGAGTAGGTTTTTACGGTGAGTCCAAAATTCCTCCCCCCAAAACCAAACAAGTTCTCTAAGTGCTGGTCTTTACTGAGCACCCATATCCTTCCTGGAATGTCTCCCTAGCCCACACCTCCTCATCAGCAGGCACAATAACCTGCAAGAGGTAAAGCAAGCCGAGGAACAGACCCAAATCCCAGGGACACTTCTGGTTGGCCCTCAGTTGAATTGTGTTGGGTCAAAGCCTGGGCCAGCTGTTTGGGCACGCTGCTGCTGTGGGGCACATGGCTCTCCGGGGCTGTCACTCGCCCAGCCTTGCACGCCGGAAGAACCTGGCACAGATGACTTCATGAAACCAAATTAGGGGTCGTACACAAGAAAGGACATTGCCACAGCTCTGGTGTAATTAGGGCCCATCATCATCAAAGACAGGAAATTGGCACATCTGCTTTTTGGGCTGCTGACCCAACGGTGGCTTGGGTGTGCTGTCCTCCTGCAGCCCGCTGCTCCTCTGTAAATATTGACCTAGTTGCCCCCTAACAGTAGTACAAGCAGTTGTTTTATCATTCCTCGTTCTCCCCTGGTCCTGGGAGGACACAAGGGACTTCACAGCACAATGCCCTCTCTTCCCTCTGCAGCGGCAAAGGGGTCAGGCTGGATGGATAAACATCAGCCCCTTTTCACCCAGTGTGACCCCAAACTGAGCACAAGTGACATTTCTGCCACCACAGGGGGGTTTGAGCCTGTTCCTCTGGAGTTAATGATAAAACTGTCGCAAACTGGGTGGCTGTGGAATCATGACCTGTGCCTTTTTAAAAATTATTTTTCTCCATACACGCCTCAGAAATGTGTTGCCCCTTTTCTGGGGGGCACTGCTCTGCAGGCAGAATTCCTGCCTGCTTTATTCCTCTGCCTCCTCTGGTTGGGCCGTTGTTTCCTGACAAGACCAAAAAGGGTCACTGCAACTCTAGAGTTGTGCTAAAGTCCCAGCCCCGGTGATCCCTGGGTGCTGCTCTGAGCCGGCAGCAGCTCTTGGGCCAGAGTAGGACTTCCATGTTTTCTGTCCTGCTTTCTTTTGCTCTCCTGGCCCAAGAGGGATTTATTTTTATTCTGTGGTGGTTTGTGCCAGGGCAGGGCACCAGCCAGCAGAGAACCACACCAAAGAATAACGGATCCTGCTCCGCCTCTGCTGAAAGAGAAGTGAGTCCCAGGGATCATCCTTGGCTCCTCAGGGCAGCCAATGGGCCAGTGTGCACACAGCAGGGACATCACTCTGTATTCCCACATTTATACCTTCCCTCATCCATACTGCTAGTCTTTATGTTTCCTAGTTTTCAGAGTTGAGGGCTTTTTTCCCCCCCCTGTGTTTTCATGTGTATTTTCAGTGGGTACTGAGAATGCTTCATGACCTTGGAAAAGAAGGGTTATTCAGGAATTCTGAGCTTGCATAATTCCCAAATTTGTTTGGACAGATAGTTTCCATCTGGGTGATGCATGCAACACCACAGGGAAATGAGAGTTCCTTTGTTACTTAATGCTGTCCTTTTTATTTATTCATTTCTACACTGCTTAACAGGATGAGCACAGACATGAGGCTACAGCTGTAAAGGAAAAAGGATTTGTACCTAATCCTTCAGGAGGCAGCTCCCAAACAGGTCCTGCATGTTGTATGGGGTCCTTCTGGTTTCTCTATCTTTTTATAAAGCATGAGACTTCCATGTGTGGTTCATATCCTGTGAGGGGAGAAGAAAAATATTTTTCTGTGAGCTGCCCTAAGTCAAATTCTGTTTTAAGCTGGAATGGAAGGGTTCCCATCAGCATCACCTGACCTTGGGGTTGCACAGCTCAGGGCACCTGGAAGTGCTGGCTGGTGCCAGTGCCGTGGAGCAGGACCTCCAGCTCCCTCCTTTCACGCTGCTCCTGGATCATTTGGTAGAACAGCAATCCTGGACCTTAGTCAGAAAGGAGATTTAATTAATCAGCACTGCAGCCTCACATACAGACACACCCAGGTTTCATTTTTCCCCGACAAAATTTTGGCAATTGTTGAGCATCCTGCAGAAAGCAGGCTGGCTCACAGCTGTTGGGCAGAGGTATCCTGGACCAGAACTGGATATATCAAGCAACAAAGCCTTCCTGACCCTCTGTATTGTATGGAAAAGGCAGCCTGTGTGGCTGCCGAGCTGCTGTTTGACTCTGATCCTGAGGTCACCTCAGCACAGCAATGAGGATTTCCTCCCCCCAGACACCACCTTTCTGCTGCAGCATTCCCAGGGACCCAAGGCTGGGCCAGGCTCACAGCCAGCTTACACTGAGGGTGACTTTTGGCTCCAACTGCTCGCTCCTGAAACACACCGAGTTCGGTTTGGCACTCACACAGCCTGCCTGAGGTCTTCTCGACTGGCTTGGGCCAAAAAAAAGGTGGGAGTGGGTGGATGTTAAATGACAACATGTGTGGAGATCATCTGCAAATGCTGGAGACAAAGGAGAGAACTGTATAACCCCAAAGGTGCTGTAAGCTGTTCTGTTTACTACTTTCTCTGCAGTAAATCTTGGCAGTGTACTTGTGTTCATCTGCACATTGACCTTTCATGTGAAAAATTCTGCTTCTACTGCTGGGTTACTTTAAAGCTGTATTTATTTAAGAGTTCTGTTTTAAATGACCGAGGACAGTTACCCCATGGTCCCTCTGTTTTCCCTGTTGTCCCAGCCACCAGGGAATACTACAGCACAAGAAACCAGTGTAAAGGAGGTCCTGTAAGCTCAACTCCAGACCAACAGGTCAAGGAGTGAGGGCCACCTGTTGCTTCTCCAGATGTGGAACCAACATCCAGAGGCAGCAGGAGACTCAGTGGCAGAGGGCTGCAGCCAGCCTGGTTCCCTCCACGCAGCCAAGAGCACGAGCAGTCTCCTCCTGCTGCTGCAACACGATCTTTGTCTCGGTGCTGGCGAGCTGCTAATGCCTCATCCTGATCCTTGGATATCAGGAAGATATCAGCTCAGCTCCAGGAGGCAGCTTTCCTGAGGTTTTGTGTGCACACAGTGAGAAACGCCCATCCCGCTGGGGCCGGGCACCCTGGGCCAAGGTTTACGCAGCACTGGGATGCTGGAGGAGGCTGGGACAGAGCCAAGCATCGGCTAATGAGTTCTGGGAACTGGGAAAGGAGGCTCTGGGCCCGTGTGCGAATGAAACCAAACACAGGCAAATAGCCACGATCCATTGCCCTGTACCTCCTCTGTGCCTATCTCCCTCTCATCCAGCCATTCCAGCAAAACAGGCATGATTTATCTGCTACTTCAGCAGAAACCACAGCCTAAAAGAGGAATTCATACACTTGGAAACAAGAAAAGAGCAAACTGGCAGGAGTGGCTTGTTCCAACCAGTGGGTCACATGTGCAAGATTTCCAACATCTGGATAACGTGACACATACTCCCAGACAAGGCGAGTGCTCTCGGGGCTTGGGGAGGACTCATGCAGCTCAGAAAGCTGGAGTGCAGCTGTTTTTGGGAAGCTCAGCAAGCCTGCTCTTCTGTCTCACATGCCTCTGTGAAGAAGGAGAGGTGGCACTGCACGGCCTTTCCTTTGGTTGGGTCTTTGGCAAAGCACAGGCTGCTCTGTCCTTAATTTTTCATGTTTTGTGCATCCACAGGGACTGTAAAACACTGCTTGCTTACCCTTTGGCCTTGCTGCTCTAAGACATTAAGAACTTCATGAGCCAGATTTCTGGCTGACATAAATCACTGTTGGTCCACGGACTTTCATGAGATTTCCAACTTGCATCACACAGATGCTTGGCTTGGTGTTCGGATCTGCACAGAGAAGGCACTCTGACATGGACATGTCAGGTCAGGGCACTGTGGCTTCAGGAAACCGTCCAGAGACGGCAGGAAACGGGATGAAATCGGATGAAAGGAAGCTCTCTGGCAGGATGACTCTGACTTCTCCATCTCCTCTTGCGGAGGGAAGAGCCTCGAGATCCTTTTTGGAGCGGACGATGTGTCTGATTCACCTCCACGGCCTGTGGGAGACACATGATCCCTGTCAGGTCAGTTTCTGTTGTTGTTTTTGTTTAAAACCCCCACAATCCTGAGGTATTTGTGCACACAAACCCCGCAACACCCCGTAACATTAAATTTCTTCGGGGCTCAACCCACGGCGCACGGGGAATGCCGGCAGCGACACGAATCAAAGCGCCCCTCCCGGGCGGGGGCACGGCCCGGGCCCGCGCGCGGGATCGCCATGGCGAGCGGGGGCGGCGCGAGCACGCCCGGCCCGTCCCCCGCCCCAGGCGGCGCGAGGAGGGCGGGCCGGGCCGGGCCGGGCGATCCGCGGCGGCGGCGAGAGGCGGCCACTCCGGCGAGCGGCAGGACGGCAGCGCCCGCCTCCGCTCTCCGTCGCCCGCAGGCTCCATGGCGGGGGCCGTGCCCCTGCAGCTGCTGCTGCCGCTGCTGCTGCCGCTGCTGCCGCCGGCCGCCGTCGCCGTGCCGGCCGCGGGCGAGCCGTCGTGCCACGGAGCCTTCGATATGTACTTCGTGTTGGACAAGTAAGGGAGGAGAGAGGGAGGCGGGAGATGGGGATCGCCGCCATCGCGCCGCTTTTGTTCGGGGGTCTGAGGGGCTGCGCGCGCGGGGCGGCCGTTGCGCGCTGAGGGGCCGCGTGCGGGGGGGGGGGGGGGGGGGGGGGGGGGGGGGGGGGGGGGGGGGGGGGGGTGTCGCTGAGGAGCCGCGCGCGCTGAGGGGCTCTGAGGGGACGGACTCTTCGAGAGGAGCTCGGCGGGAAGTTCGCGAATCCCGCTGGACCTCGCTGCACGCCGGCGGGTCGCGGATTCGGACAGGGGCGTCGGAAGTTCTCCCCGGAGGGGTGCTGGTGGCCGGACGTGTCCGGAGGAGCGAAAGCCGTAGCATCTGTCGCCTCTCTTCGTCCCGCGGCGGCCGCCGCCGGCCGGGCTTTTGTGGGCAAGTTCGACGGCCGCGATCGCCCTCAGGGAGGGGCGGGGGGGAGTGGGGGGAGTGGGGCCGGGGCCACCTCACGGCGGGGACCGCGACAAATCGCGACAAACTTACCGGCGCCTGCCGCCCCGAGCCGGGCTGGCCGTGACTCCAAGTGTTTGGGACAGCAAATATTGTTAAGTTTCTCCCTGAAATGTCAACCGAGATCAGGCCGCTTATGTACTGTGGTTTTCCCTTTCAGGTCTGGGAGCGTGGCAACGAACTGGCATGAAATATTTGATTTTGTACGTCAGCTGACAGAAAGATTTGTGAGGTGCGTGGTGCTGCCTGTAACAGCCGGGGTGATGCTGTGGTGATTCTGGGCTGTGTTAAACACCCCTCCCGTGCTTTTGCAAGCTTAGGGGGATGTTCACAAACACCATAAAGCTTGGCTTCTAAGACCCCAAGTGCTGGAAAATATTGGAAACTTTCACTTTATTTTCGTGCTTGGAGCTCAGCAAAAAGGTGGCAATATGCATCTTTAAATATTTAACCTCTAAAATTACTCTTAAGATGTGGTTTGATAGTTTTTTAAACTTCTTTTTCCACAAGCCACGTGCCTCATTTCTGATGGAGTACTGTTCACATGCTGCATTTGGAGATCTTTATAAAGCAGCAGGTCTCTCTACGTGTAAATACATGGTGCAGATCAGAAGGAAGAGAACAGTGTTAAACAGTGTTAAACCTCAAACCCAGAGGGAGCCCATGCCGTGTAACAATGTATTTGTTGTACATACCTGTAATCAACTTTGTTACTGCCAGCAGTGTTGTCTGGCAAGTCCTTTGCTGTGAAACCCGACTGACTGAGGGGTTGCTGGGATGCAGAATTTTGCTTTAAAAAAACCTCACAACAAAACTCAGAATAAACCAAAGGAATCCTCCCATACAGAGGCAGAGATGCTGTGGTAGGTTTCGTTAAGGAAAACAGTGCAGTGTGCAGTTGTGATCTTGGCTTGCTAATAAAGGGATACAGTTAGGCTTATATAATTAAACACTGCTTATTTTCATCTTGTAAAAAGCAAATCTTCTTTAAACTTCTGTAAAACTTCTGTCAAGGGGGACAACAGAAACTTTCAAAAGTTGTTTTGTGAGCTCTAGAGTTAAAAAAAAAAATGTAAAAATAGAGCCTGAGGAGATACTGAAGCAGCACTTCTTTGGACTAAGTGGTAAAACATTTGCCCTCCCTGAGAAGTATGGTGCTGGTTCAGTGGAAGTCTTTCAGTTCAGCATCTTCTCCAGCCAAGTGACACTCCCTCTTGCAGCAGTTGCATGGAGGTCTGCCAGTGTCCCAAGCTGCTCATGGAGCAGAGCAGGGATGGGATGGCTCATGGAGAGGATTGTTCTGTGGTGGCCTAAAGAGAAGCTGGCTAAAACATAACGTGGAGGTTATTGCACACAGAGTCTCATCTCAGACAGCGACGTCTCACAGTAATCACTAGGCAATGATACAACTACCACAGACTGAGTTTGCAAGCATTTTGCAACTGGAAAGACAGATAATCCTGTGGTTTTGATTCTGATTTAATTTAGAGCATCTCGGAATTTTGTGGACAGACTGCAGGGATGGATCCTAAATCCGAGGTCTGTGCAATTCTGTGCAGACTTGCAATACTTACATTCCCACGAGGTCAAATAATTTGTAGTTGCATCACTGACGTCAGTGAACTGAAAACATAGGGTCGTTCAGCTTTACAGGTGTTATGTCCTTACAAACATGAACCTGATTAATTAATGCTGATACATATATACAGTGAATTATAAAGTTACTGAACGTATTGGAATTGTAATGAATAAAAATTAAAAGCAAGTAGGAGAAATGTTACAAATTACCTCAGTAAAGTTCCTGTCTTGGGCTTTCAGAGCATCAGGCAGTTCTTAAGCATTTTCCACTGCTAATTGCATGATTCTCTGTAACCTTGTTCTAAGAGACAGGTTAGCTTCTTAAAAAAAGATTGAACTCCTTGATAAAATCAATTTGTACAGTATGGCATTTTACTGTGACATTTCCCTGGATACTTTTAGGGAAGTTGATTGCCAGTCTCATAACTCTGTTACCGAAACAAAACCAGACTCACTCTGGAAGAGTTTACATGCTGCTTTTTTGGGGCTGAGGCAGTCATCAGACATTGGTTCTGTGACTGGGGTGATCTGATGACCAAAGAGCACAGTTGGAAATTGATAGTGTGTCAGCCTGGAAAAAAAGGGGAAATGTGTCTGTGGTTAATACCCAGAGCAGGGGGAATTCTGCATCTGTGTTACACCAGCGACAACAACAATACCCAAGGAACGTGCGTTACCTTCTCTGTGGGGAGAGATCATATCCTGGGAATTCACTGGACTCTGGTTAAGTGAGAGGGAGTAGCAATTCTGCCTCTTTGTTCTCAGAGCATCTGAGTAAGGAAAAGATGGGCAGAAATCTTTTAATTCCTCTCATTTTGTGTTTGTAGTTCAAAAGGATGTTCCTGGGAAGCTGGAGGGTAAAGATGGTGTGAATGAAGCCTGAAGAAGCGAGTGAGATGCTGTGCAGCTGTACGTTTCTCTGACATATATTTTTTTCCCCCTCTTTCCCTTTCCTAAAGCCCGAAGATGAGATTATCGTTTATCGTGTTTTCCACCCAGGCACACGTCATCATGCCGCTCACTGGAGACAGGTTAGTGCACTGCTTTTAAATTCCCCCTCCAGCCCCCCAAGGGCTCTTACTGAACCACAGGAGCAGTAACGGATCAACAGCTGATACCTCTAAGTGGTGGCTACTCGTGAAGCCTCCATGCAGAGCTGATTTGATTTGGTGACCGTATCAGTGGATAGCCTTGTAAAAAAGGAAGGAGTGGAATGGTGGGAAACAAATCCTTGATGTTAACTCTGCCACTGCTTTGCAGAACAACACCAGTAGTGTATTCATCTCTGTGTGATTCTGCATCTCCCTTGGCCCAGCAGGAGAATGATTCTTGCATTTACTGTTGTAAAGCCATGTCCGTAGATAAGTTTTCAGAATTTTTTTCATCTCTAGGAAAAGCATAAAGTAAATAAATGTTTCCTGTAATCTCACATAAGGTAGGTATTCTGGTTTGTATTTCCTAAATAGGACTTCAGATTGTGGTTTAAACAGTGAAGTTGGTGCCACTTGAAGGGTGTGAGGTCTTCCTGGCACTGTGATGATGTACATATGTGCCTGAACTCTTCTTCCAGTTTCAAAGGCATTGGAATTCAAGGCTGCTTGCTCTGATTTCTAAAGCAAGTAAGGATTAGCAGTTAGGATAGCTCAAGGATGAGTGAGGGGAGACAGAAGGAGGAAACCAGGTAGAGAAGAGAAAGTTGCAAAAATAATTACTGGAATCACACAAATTGGGAAATGATCTTGTGGAGTGAGTGCTTTTGGCAGCAGACACTGGCGTTGCTGTCGAGAGTCCTTCAGTGTTCTCTCAGCCTTGTCAAAACCAACACGACCTCCTCTCCCTTTTGTCCAGACCCTACTGCGGCACACAACCTTCTGGGTTTTGAAAGTGTGGATGAAGCGTTTAGGAATAATTCCAATTAACTGTGGCTGGGTGGAAGTGAGATGGTCCTTCCTTTTTGCTTCCTTTAGTAGGTCAGTGCAAAATGTGGTCTGCCATAGTTGCTTAGTTTCTGCTATGGTGTTGTTTGATTGTTTTAAATTAATACATAAGGGCAAGTACAAGACTTCCTGAAAGACCTGTCGTGGGCAACAGACAGGAGTTATGCTTACAGAAATGTAGCTGACATCCGAGATGCCCAAAAATCCAATTCTATGCCCCTCCTGTTTCAGCATTTGGAAAGTGGTCTGACTTGAGAACAGCCACTTCCAGATGGCTTGAGAAGGGTCAGAAGAGGACACTTGAGCCTGTTCTGAGGCCTGCTGAAGTCAATGAGGTCCTTTCTCTCCGTTAAAATAGGCCTGTCAGTGGCCTGTTCCTTATCAAGCACAAGAGCCAGCACTGATAGCACACAGACCACTTGGAATGCTGGGCAGGATGCTGGAGCCCTGCCACAGGAACACAAGTGCCTTTTTCATAGCCTGTCTGTGGCATGCTTGTAGCCATGGATAGAGCTGTGTTTAAAGCACAGAAAGAACCTCTGGAGCTCTAGAGGGTTCCCTTGGGGGACTTGGCTTTAGTGCAAGGTTGGCTGATGCTTTTGTGAGTGTGGCAGGGGAAAGAAAGTGTCACCCTTACTGTTCAGGAGGAATTATAAGGAGAATGGGAGGGAGACTAGTAACTGTGACCATATGTACATAGGCAAGAATGGATAGATAGAGTTGGAACAGCTGTCCTTTTAAATATTAAAGAGGTCAACAGAGGAGAATCACTGAAACTGTCTGTTGTTCCCAACAGCAGATGAGGATGCTAAGTGCAGTTCTGGGGATGGGTGTGTGTGGGTGATTATGGGCTATTATGGCCTCAGTTTGTTATGTGCACTCTGGACTAGCAGACATGGTTTTGCCCTCACTTACTTGCTAATTCCCAAATGTCAGAAAACCGCAATTCCTTCCTAGCAGTTAGATCAAAGTAAGGCAGTATTTTTTATTTTGAAAGCCTTAGGCTTCTGGTTGTTTGCACGAAGTTCTTGCTGGGTTTACTGCACAATAAAGCTGTGGATATAAAGAAAGCCACAGCATAGTGCCAAAGCCCCTGAATTCCCAAATATTTTGCGACTTTGAACAATACTCTGTGACTAACTCTGGAAACAGAAGTCGCTGTTAATCGCAGTACACAAAGTGCTGTAACAAATACATAGAATAATAGCAACACTCAGATGGAAAAGCCTTCTCACAGTGGTTACAGCCCATTTGGGACACACACGTCCATGAAGTTCAGCTGGAAATTGTGCACTAAGTGGTAAACAAAGATTGGTGTACTCACATTTGGGGCTCAGTGTTGGAAAGCAAGTGGTTTGGGAAAGCAGATACACTCACCAATACCATCCAGCTGGCATAGCGTTGCCTGTGCTCTCTTTTGGCCGACTGTGCTGGTTTCTGTAAACCTGCTTCTGCAGCACTGACTGGTGCCAGTGGCCAGGACTAGCCCCGCTGCCTTTGCCTGGGTGAAACTCTTACTGGAGATAAAAAGATTATGTTAATGAAGGTGGGAAGATAGAACACTTAAGTACTTAGTATGTGACCAACTGTACCATCCTGTGCTTGTCCGTAGCCTGGTGGTGCACTGACTGCTCCTGGTTTCACAGGGGTGTGTAGGACATGGATGTGCTTGGAGCCTCGGTCATGTGAGCTGTGCCTGCGCTTGGATCCAAGCAGCTTGCCAAAGTAAAGCCATCTGCAGAGAGTGTGTTCTGTGGGGTGTATGAAGTACAGCAGTTGGCCACTGATGTGATTTCCACCTGGAGCCCGGCCACCGATGTGGTTTCCACCTGGAGCCCGTGCAGGAGGCCTCAAGTTTGAAGCAGAGTAATTATTATAATTGAACCAAACCCTTTGTAGTATTTAAGAGGCATAGAAAGCATGAATGTCCTCCAAATGACACATCTGAGGAGGCTGATGTGTGGGGTTTTCTTTCACCAGTATGACAACTCACATCGTCAGGGATAGAGCTGTCCCCTTTTCAGTCAAAGAACACTTCCTCCCTCTTGGTTTCACTAACAAGTTGGTGTTTTCCTGTTTACTGTACTTCCTTCTTAGCAGCAAACCCCAAGTACCTGTTTTGTTTGTCTTCCTTGGTTAGAGATCAGTGCGTTGCCTCGCAGCACATGGCCTCATTCCACACCATAAATACCTGCTCAGTGAGAGCCACTCTCTGCTGCCAGTGCTTGTACACTCAACACACTGAGATAACTCAAGATTCCAGCACTCCAGTAGGTGGAATGCGACATGGGAAAGACATACAGGACACTGTCCCTCACCCAGAGGAGCTGAGAACACCCCTTCTGGAAACTGCATGGGTATTAACAGCTGTGTTGGCCTGGCTGCTGCTGCAAGAGCTGTTTGAGGCAGTTACACAGCTTAGAGAAACAGGAGTCAGGGATAGCTATTAAAAAGCAGTTGTGTCTGTGCTGAAACACAGAGATGGGCTGCAGCACGTATGCTCAGTGGGGAAGAGAAGATTAAATTTGCACTTGCTCAGCCCAAACACAGGCAGGCTGCAAGTTGCTGATCCTGTTTGCCTTTTCCACCTCCCTCCCGTGTCTAACTAGCACCATGAAGCCAGCGGCCCCTCAGCCTTTGTTACTGTTCCCGAGCTGTGCTGCTCTATGTCCAGGCACCCAAGCCAAGGGCAGGACTCTCCTGTCTCGGTACAGATGAGTTACACAACCAGGCCTTCTCTGGGGATTTCTGTGGCTACCAAAAGTAATTACAGAAACTAGAGAAAGGGAAGTTGTGAGAGCACTGAACAGCAGGAATGGGGTTCCCAAGTGCTGTGGCTGGTTGACTGCAGAGTCCCGTTATCAAACGGTGCAGGCAGACACGAGCTCCCCTGCCCACCCTTCTAAACCGGCCAGGGGTGAGTTTTAGTGTGATGGAACCAACCTCTCCTGCTGGCTGCTGGGCCCAAGTCCTGCACCCACACTGGGCAGCTGACACCCAGACCAGGACTTGCTGGTACCTGACTGACTCAGAGCATGCCTGGAGTTCGTTCACATCTGGCCTGGGTCTGTCTAGTGTGGCTGTGCCCTGAGGAAAGACATGGTGACTGATTAAACGAAGCTAAAAAAGCTCATGCTGCCAAAGATTTTCCTGGAACCCCTTGTAGGCAGAGGCCTGGCAACACCAGAGATTTCTGTGTGACCGGGTCACAAGACGTTGCAGATAAATAAAACCGAACTGATTGTACAAAAGCTATTTTTGCAAAATGAAATCTGTTTCAGAAAACTGGGACTTGAGTTGCTGCTTGTTTCTTGGCAGCAGAGCACTAACGCCTGTGATGTGCTGCCACTCATTTCTGGCAAGCTCCAACTATGTGGTTTATAATCTGCGTTCATACATAATCACTTGCAAGTTGTTTCTATAGATGCTGAATATAAAATATTTGGATCAAACAGATTGTATTATCTTACATAACTTGCTCCCTTCCATACATTCAGTGCCACATCTCTCTCTTTTTTACCCCCTCCTCTCCCCGATTCTACGATCCTGTGATGGGGAGCTTACGGATTGTACTTTAGAACAGGGCTGCTAAAGATAGAGGAAGCCCATCCGTGGAACAAATGACGAGTGGGTGGCATTCAGGCAGTGTGGCATATGCATTCTTTCTCATTTGGTCTGGCCTAAGGAAAGCTTTCATGCATCCTGTGATGTATTTCTCCTGCATCTCCCCACCCCTGCTGGGTTCCTCTTTCTCACCTAGGTTTGTCATAGTGTTCTATATATTCCAGCCCAAATTTTGTCCCAGCTTAGTTTTCACTTGTCCTTTCCTACCGCAACTTTCCATGGACTTCACTGGAACTGTGCTTACAGAAGACTCAAGACCCTCCAGATTTGATTTTTCAAGGAAAGTCTCTCTGCCTTTTTTTTCCCCACTTGTGCCGATTTCACTGGAAATAATTCCTGTCATGCTGTCTACCAGCTTCTCCACTCTCATCCCCGTAGTCAGTGAGCATCTCGCAGATGGATCTGCTGGAGTGCCCGTGAGAAATCACAGCACAGCCATATTCTCCTGTTAAATTTAAGTGAGCTGTGACCTGCGTAAGTGTGACGTCTTATCAAAGGTCACACAGAAAGTAGTGAGAGCCGAAAATGAGAAACTATCCTCAATCTCAGTCCTTTTCCTTGGGTACAAAAGGTGTCTTGCAAATGCTGGATTTGCCTATTGCTATTTATTTCTTTAAGGGTGAAAATTTTTATTGTTGCAGTTGAGTTCTACCCGATTAAATTCCTGCATATTGACCTGGAAGATTTTGGTCAGGATAGAACTGCTGCTTTAGAGGATTTGTTCTTCAGTTGCAGTGTGATTGGATGCAAAGTTGGTTTAGCTGAGCAAAATAGACTTAATGTAACAGAATTTCCACTGGACTGTGTAATGTTGAGGCTTTGCCACATCTTTGCAATATCTGCTCCACCTGAACATTTTCCTCAGCTCTATCTCTTTGATTCACTGAAGCATATTGTGTTAGTTAGTTAGGTCTGAAATACCTGTTCCCACAGTGCCACACTTCTGTCACAAATACAGTCTGCCTCCATGTGGGATCTCAGCTAAAGGCTCTAATTTACAGCTTTTCATTTCAGATCTCCTTTAGGATCAGTACTGTTTTCAATTGATAAACTACCCTCTTTCCCCATTTCAGATTACACTAAGTCTCTTACCTTTTTTTGTTTGCAGAGAGAAAATCAAGAAAGGTCTTAAGGATTTGGAGGAGGTGATACCAGCAGGTGAGACATATATACATGAAGGACTGAAACAGGTAGGTTTTCCTCATCTTCTTGCAATCAACACATGCTGTGTTCTCACCCTTTGGTTAACAACCTGTAACATAAATGGATTGATTGTATGCCTCAGTCTGTTATGCTCAAATCTTTCTAGTTGCCTAAGTGGTCCCAGGGTTGCCCAGACATTGTGCAAATCCCATGCAGATTAGCCATCACAGAAATTTGCCATATGGAATTTCTCTGACTTGCTCCTTCGCAGCAGAGCGCGGGTCTGTGTCGTGAATCTCAGAGCTAACCCAGCATACCAATGACATGGTAAATAGTCACACGCAGCTCTGGAGGGCTGTGGGGCTTGCGGCATCTTCTGGAGCACTCTCCTTGGGGAGACTTTACTGCACAGAGCGGCGTTTACAAGACAAATGCTCTTAATTTTGGACCGTCTTAATTATGGAGTTCCCAACTGCTTATATTTCTTTTAGTTAAAGTAGTTAAAGTGTACCGCGCAGTTTTGCTGAAAGCCCGGGCCCTGAAGGTGAGGATCTAAGCTTTCACTGTTACAGACAAATCGATTCTTCCTCTGTGCCTGTGGAACCATGTTTGTAACTGAGATCTGTGCGCTGAAAAGCTGGGCAAAGAGAATTTTGTTGCTGTTTAAAAAGAAAAAATTAGTTTTAAGCCATTCTTTTTGTATCTTGGAACCTACTGACTGCATTTGAAATCTGTGAGGTGGCAAAATAAGCCGTAACAGTGGATCTGAAGAGATCCGCCCTGGAAGAAATGAGTGTTGGCAAGGACTGATGGGTTAGTGACCCCAGCGCTTTTGAGATGGCCTCACTGGCAACTGGAAAGGACCAACGAGGGGTTTCCCAGCTGGTAGTGAGTTCAAGGGAGGCAGAGAACTGTCAAGAGAGATAGGTTTGAGGATGAGGCTGAGTGTTATTTCAGTTGCTGTATTCGATGCTTAAAAGATGCATTCTGGTTAGAAGTTCAGGTGCAATTTTAAGATGGATGATTTTTTATTTTGGTTTCAGGCCAATGTGCAAATTGAGAAGCAAGGAGCCTCGAGGTTCTCTAGTATCATCATTGCACTGACAGATGGCAAGCTAGATGGTCAGATTCCCTTGTATGCAGAGAAAGAGGTGAGCACGAGCTGGAAATGCGTGTCATATTCTGCAAAGTTTGAGTGCTGCCTGTTGAATAAAAAAATGCTTATTCCTCTGTTCTTTTATGGGACAGGCAAGGAAATCCAGAGACCTGGGAGCGAGAGTTTACTGTGTTGGTGTCCAGGATTTTGAACAAGAACAGGTAAGAATAAGAACATTAATACTTTAGTGTACTAGGCAGTACCTGGGTTTTACACAGTTCATGTTTAGTATGGAAATTAATTTTACTTACATTAGGCAGTATGTCTTCTCTGGCTCAGGAAATGCACTCAGATGTGGATGCAGACATAAATAGAAAGAGTGGGTGTCGCGCTCACTGCCGAGGAGACCCGTTGGAAATCCCCTTGCTAGCTGGGAGCTGGCAGCAGAGAGAGTGCAGGCAAACCCCTCTCTTTGGGATGGCAGTCGGGTCAGGGTGGTGGTTGTGTGAACAGAGGAGCTGTAGACAAGGTTCAAGCAGCATTTAACAGCCTTGGGATAAAGAAAAGAGTGTCGGATCCATGTTCTTCATTGACCAAAAGCTCTTCCAGAGTTGCTGTGTCTCAGGGAATGCTGTAGCTATGTCTGTTCTGTGACTTAAATAGAGATGCACACAAAAGGCTCTTCCTGCAGAAGGTGCAGAGGAAGGCTTTTTAGTGGAAGGCAGAACAAACAGGGAAGGTAATTCTGGGCAGAGTTATGAAATCACTGCCAAGATACAGGCTCTTAAAGGCTTCCTCAGCATGATGTTTGCCACCATGGCTACCCACCATTCTGTTAGCTGCAGTCAGCACTATTAAATCCTCCTGTTTAGAAAACTCATAGTTAGCTGTGAGAGAGCTCTCAAGTTTCCTTCTCTTTGCAGAGCTGATGAGAGTTGCTTTTAGACACCCATTTAAATTTAAGGGTGAAAATCAGCGTGATGAATTTAGTTTGCCTGATGATTCATGTTGTTTGCTTGTGTTTTCTCTCCAAAGCTGGAAAGAATTGCTGATGTGAAAGAGCAAGTCTTCCCTGTCACTGGAGGATTCCAAGCACTTAAGGGGATAATCAATTCTGTGAGTACCAGGCAATAGGTTTTACATTTCCTCAAGATTACAGCATTCTCCAGTCCTGCTTACTTTTCTAGGCAGAACTAATTCCTAAGTCAGTAATTGCAAAAGGTGAAGTTCCCTCATGCTTAAGAGATGCAACTCTGTAAATCAGCATTGCCTGCCCCTCCTGCAGTTATTCATGCTCAGACCTTGTGGAGAGTTTGAAGACTCTCACAAGGAGAGGGGAATTCGTGCAGGAAGCTGGAGGGATGCTCTGAGGAATGGCTGCTGTGGGTTTAGTCTGGAAAAAATGGAGACTGTTTCTGTGGGAGAGTTGAGAAAAACTTGTTAAAATCCCGGGGAATAAGTGCAATTTAGGAATTGTCCAAATCTTCACATTCAGAGAAACATTCTAAATACATGACTTTAACCACTCGTTATCCCAGTAAGTGATAAGACTCAGTTCCATTTTTGAGCATGGCATGACCAGCTCCCATCAGTGAGATGAGGCCGTTCAGCTGATTACTGTGGTTTGCAAGAAGGGATCAAAGCAAGAGATACATTTTTTAAACTAAAGGCTGCGTATTTCATGCAAGGTTAACAGTGCTGCTGCTGCTGCGTGTAGGCAGCACAGTGCAAACAGGCTTACTGGCAAAAGTAAAGTCAAAATCAAAAATGAAATTCTTTTTCTGAGAGAGATCCCACTATCATCTATTTCCCTTTCCTTTTTTTTTTTTTAAACAACAAAAGGATACGACTCACATACAGGATATTACACAGTCACAAATGTGTCACTTCCCTTGAGCAGTGGTTTTTGTGCATGTCATAATGCAACAACTTCTTTTCCTTCTATTGCTTAAAATAAATGTAATTTCAGAATCTTCCTTGCACATTCTAAAGAGAGATAATCAACCTTTTGTTGCATTGACATTTATTCTCCTGAAAAGACAGTGCACCCCACATGCTACTGCTTAAAACATTTACTGTTAAAAATCTCATTCTACGCCATTTGAAAGACTTAAAGGACTCAGCCATGTTGCTGGTGCAGATGATGCAACCTCGAAGCCACTAGTGCTAGGCTTATTTATGAGAGCTGAATGTTTAGCCCCAGCTGATTATGTTATGTTTCCAAGGATACTGCTTTTCAAAATGTGTGTGTCAAGGCAGAACCAGATCGAGGAGTAAAGACATTGGTGTTCAGTGTTTCCCCTCCAATGAGGGTCACTGACCTGCAGATTGGAGCCTTCTGAGGAGTCAGGTCTCTCCACTACTCCTCTTGTCCTTTGAGGAAGCAGCAGGAGTGCAGCAGGAGTACAGTCCCTTGAGGAGTCTGGAATTCAAGCACATGAAGATTAGCACAAGCTGTAGGATACCCATTCTCAGCCAAGGTGTTTTTGGGCAGTAGCAGTGCCAGCCTGCATCTTTTATACCTCCCAGGGGCTTTCAAGCACCTTCACTTGTGGGCAGTGAGGGAAGCTTTTCTGATAAGGTCTGGCAGGTGGTGCTTGCACAAGCCTCAATCCAGCTTCTTCTGGCACTTGTGAAAAACCCGAGTGTAAAAATCCCAGGTGTGTGCATATCACAGCTGTAGAGCAGGACCAGACACACTGAATGGCAGCACTTTGTTTTAAGGTAACAGCTTAGCACTGACAGGAAAAGTTCTACAGCTTACATGCGAGGTCTGCCCCTGCAGACTAAACTCATGAGTTGGTCCAGGGTTTATTTACAGCCTGCAGCGGCAACAAACATGTCACCACTTGGCTTTTACCACAGAGCATGGATCCAAGTATCCACAGCTATGGTTTTTGTTTTGTTTCATTTGAATTTTTTGTGTGTGAGTTTTGTGGGTTTTTTTTTAATGCATGTGTGGTGGCTAAATTAACATGATTTTTTTGTATGCTGTAGTTATAACTCAATTTTCTTTGCAGGGGTTTTGAATAATTTTGACAAATCATTCTCATAACATTATAACATTGGTAAGCAGATCAAATGGAACATGAAATATTCACAGTTTTCCTTTTTAGTTACTATTATAAATTCGTTTCAGTTTGCAAGTTAGCTAGAGAATACAGACTCAAAGAGATCCTTCTGAAAGGGAGAACTAATTTTAAACCAGATGAAAACGAGATACTCAGGTCCCAAATGAGCAGGAGTATCACTCCAAGTGCAGAGTCAAAGGTGCAGTTGTGAAACCCTCCGTGAACATTGCTAAACAATTTTTGTTTAGAAAAATCACAGTTTTCAGAAATGGCAGCGGCACAGCAATTAAAACCCCTGAGCAAAACTACACCCCAGAACTGTTGAGTAGGAATGATGCAGGAGTCTCTTCTACATTGATCTCTCCAGGTGTGAGATTTTTTTGGCTGCTATCTTGTTATATCTTGTACCCTATTCCAGGAGAGCTGAGCAGTTGAACTGCATTTGTTGGTAAAGTGATGGGCTTTATCATGGAGTGTCTGTTAGTACCTGCTCTTGCAATTGCTTGCAATCTAAGCACCTATTCCAGTTTATTTTCTCTGGACAGATACATGAAATATGTTTAATCGTGCCCAGGGATGAGCATGGAAGACAGTCGAGATGAGCATTTTCAGTAACCCAGGCTTAGATGCTGGAGAGCTCGCACTGAGTTTTTGACCTTAAGTTCAGATAAAACTCCAGAGAAGTGGGAAGGGTTTAAGCACCATCACACCATGTGTTTCTGCTGAATAACATCAACTACCAATTCCAAAGCCCTGTGCAGAACTCTGAAGAGGGGGCTGCTTTGTGAAGTTTCCCACTCTGCCAGCATTGCTAATACCTAACTGTACGAAGTCGTAACTAAACATCATTGTCAGGGTGAATAAAATCTAAGCAAAACTCTACAGCTTAAAAGCAAAATGCTGAAGGCGAGCTACTGCACTCTCAGGAACAGTTACTGATGGGGTTTGGCTGGTAATTACACGGAGTGTGGCCTCGTGAGCGAGCCAGGGCAGTGTGAACTGCAAGGCTTGGGGAGGGCACAGTTCCTGTCATCATGCGGCAGTTCAGTACTAGATAAGAAAATGAAACCCTTAATTAAACACAAGTCCTGCTGATTTATGAGTGAAAGTTGTCTGGTTGTCTCTGCAGGCAGAATTGGACAAGGCTTGTGCCTTTAAAAGTTACATTAAAGGAACTCACTTTAGTAACCTTATTAGAGTGTGTGACAGCTCTAAGTAGACTTAAACACATTTTTATACTAAAGTGACTTGACAGCACTTAATACAGGAAGTTAAAATATATTTTGTACTTAGGAAAGCCCACGAAAACTTACCAGATAAGACTACAAGAACTAATACAGGCAGAACTTTAGAGGAAGTAATCAGTTCAAAAAAGGGTCAGCCTAAAATTCCTTTATCTCTCATCGGTACAATTTCTTAAGGAATCTACCCAGGAAGGATTATAAATTACTTAAGAGCTCTACCTGGGAAGGATAATAAATAGAATTGCTAAGCTCTTTCTGCTTGTTCATTTTGCAGGTGCTCTGTTTTTTTTGTTCATTTTACGTGGGAAACCCGACCTTAAACGTAGTAGACAAAAACAAAATTGATCAAGTCCTGTGAACTGAGGGGTTGGACCACCCAGAACATTGTAAATGCAAGCTAAATTGTATCCAAGTTGGCTGAGCCCTCTGGGGAAAAAACCCTAAGCCTTAGCATAAAGCTGTCAGTTTGTCCAGGAAGAGTTGCAAATTTGGATACTTAAGGATCCACCTCTTGTTGAAGGGGGGGACTGGGGGAGAGAAGACCTCAGGATTTGCAGGATGTGAACTCCCAGGCTGGAGTTACTTAGACCCATCAAATTAGTGCATCTGGGAACAGTGAGGTTGAACAAAGGATTAAACGCACCCAGGGTCCTTTAGAAACTATATTCACCACTTATACAGGGACAGACTCTGGCTAAAGGGGTGTAAGTAGGGAGTGCTATACAAATACAAATTCTCTGCTGTAAAAGTATAAATTCTCTCCAGTAAAGCGTGGTGGGTAAAGTCTGCTTCTCTTGCAAAGAGCAGTCAGCAAAATCCCTGTGGCATTCAGATCCATTTGGACACCAGTGAAGGGTATCTACTGAATATCCTGGGGGTTTCCATGTCAGCTGGATGGTTCCTGTGTCACTCGCTGTGCATGGCAATGCATTCCTACCTTGGAGTTACACGGATTGGTGACAGCCAGCTCAGTGGGGCCCGAAGGGAGCTGCTGCACAAACCGTACATGGCAGCGGCACGCTCAGCCGGTACCTGATGGAGTCACTTCTCATCTGGAGCATGGTGACACTCACTGTCACTGTGCCCCAGTGCTCAGCACAGAGAGGGGCACCACAGGCTGCTGACAGGTCTTGGTGACAAGCAGACTTGTCCCTGTTTGCCTTACTAACACAAAGTCAGCAGGGAGGGAAGCTCACAACCTGTGTTGGACAGTGAGGTGGTGCTCGAGACGGGACAAAACCAAAGTCTGGTGAGGGTGAGTCAGTTCTGCTGAGGTAGGCAAAGAGCTGTTTCGTGTGAGGAACAATTTTTGCCTTTAGGTTTGTAAAACTTACCGTGCTGGCTTCCCGAAGATGTGCTCCATCCTCTCTCTGTGACTCTGATGCCTTCTGCTCTAGCTGTGCTGTCAGCAGCACTTCCTCTGGCTGACCTGGCTTTGGCACTGGGGGATGGGGAATTATTGAACTCACACAAGTCCAGCAGCATCTCCCATGGGTACCTGCTGTAAGGTAGCAGAGTTCATATTTATGGAGAGCAGGAAACTTACCCACTGCCACAGGTGGTGCTCCAGCTTTGGACAGTGGAGAACGCTGGTTCCATGTCCCTGACATGGGAGCTAACCAAACTCTGCTCTCTGAACCACTCGTGTCTCAGGGGCCAGGTTGTGACTTGGTACCGAGCAGTAATCAGGGACTACATGATTTTCAAGTAGTCCCTGCTTCTGCCCAGCCTGCCCGGATTCCTTGAGCTGAGCTGCCTTGTACACTGCCTTGGTCACAGTGTGCTGAGGCTGCTCCCCGTT